TTAATATTTCTTCTTAATAATCAAAATATTTACTTACCTTATTATAATTTTTTTTTAATTTTATATTTATATTTTTAGAATACCATTTGTATTATTTTTTCTTTAGTATTATTTAATTTCTATAACCCTTCATTTATTAAATTTTCTGGATTAATTAAATATTTCATCTCACATTCATTTATTTCCTTATCTAATTAAAAAATGGCTGTTTCTATTTTTCTACTGCAATTAATTTTCATACTTCTAATTGATTCTATATTTGGTTATGTACCCTATTAAAAGTGATATTTGTAATGGATGTCAATACAATCAGGACATAAAGGGCGTAAACAATCTAAATTTGCGCAATAGTTTGTAAATGGATCATTATGCTCATCGCATAAATTATAAGCATTAATGCTTTATTGTTAAGTGTTTAGTTAAGTTATATTTTATTAAAATGATTGATTATTTTACGAATACATTTTGTCTTATTTTTTTGTTTTTTTATTTAAATATTTTTAAAATAAATTAAATTACATATAAATATAAATTATTTATTTATTTTTTTCGAAAAAAAAAAAATGATTTTATTTTTATTTTTAAAGTAATTTATTTTTTGAATGGAATTCGTATTTAAATATAATTATTATTATTTTGTAATCATAAATTGTACTGTAATAATAAAATTATTTTTCTTATATATTTAAGATTTTTGTATATTTAAATACAGATTATTTTAAATTTAAGAATTTTTAAAATAAAATTTAATTTGGTTATAAATAATTACTTAAATATGTATTAATTTAATTATAAAAATGTTTTAAACTAAAGAGTTAAAAATAAATAATATTAATTTTCTTTTTATATAATGTTTTAATTATAAGTCCATTAAAAGGTTTTTTGTTTAAGTTTACTTTTATAATATTTAAAACTTATAAAATATTTATTTTTTATAAATAAATATATTTATTTTGCTTTTTTATTATTTCATAATTATTTTTTTAAGATATTTACGTCATTAATAATCTAAAATCAATTAAAAATAAAATATTTTTTTTATAAAATCATTATTTACAAATTTTAAATTTTTTAAATAGTTTAATTATAATAGATTTTTCATATTTTTCTATAAAACATATCAACTTTGCTTAGATGAATTTATATTCCAGGCGCAATCCATTTATTACAACTACACTTTAAACCATCTAATTTAATTTCTCCTAATTTTGCTTTACATTTTGGGCAATTTAATTTAGTATCATATTCATATGCTTCTCTATTTTCAATCCAATCTAAATTTTGCGATATAAATATTGATGTACATTTTTATTCTTTATGTTCTATATCACTATTTTTAAATAATTCTAATCTGCATTATTTACAACGATAAAACTCTTGTTGTTCCATATTTTTTTTTTTATAATTTTTTTTTTTTATAAATATAAAAAAAATGATTATTTACTTTAATATATTTTTTTAATTATATTTATTATCATACATTAAATGTGTAAAATTTAAGATAGCTATTTATTATTATAAATCTAATCATAAAAAAAAAAAATTAAATTAAATTTAAAATATCATAAATTTTAATATATTAAATATTTAAAAAATAATAAATAACTAAATTTTTAATTTCTTGAAAATAATAAATCATTCATTTAGTAAATCTCAAAAATATTGAAAAAAATGGGAAGGTTTAAACTCAAAGAAGCTGAAAAAAAAAACTAAACATAATAACAATAACAATTAAAAGATAAATAGAATTAAAAAGAAAAAGAAAGTAATAAGGAAATAAAACAAAACGAGGATGATTTTAAAAATGCTTTAGAAAAAATAATAAAATTAGATAAAAAAAATAGTAATTTTGATTTATATGACCCTCAAACTAAGTTAAATAAAATAAATAGACATATATTTATATTTTTTTTTTTAAAAAAAAAAAAGCATTCATTTGAAAGTAAGAAGTGTTAATTATTAAATAAACTATCAATAATTACATGGTGTCTCATAAATAGATCATTAAATGCGTTAATTCTGGCGACATGTAAATAGTACATATTTGCGTCCTATATAAGGATAAGATGAAAATAAATTAGAATACTTAAAAAGCGTCTTAAATAAGAATATAAGCAGTTAATTATATAATAATATAAATTATATTTTAAAAATTAAAAAATATATAAAAAAAAAAAAGTAAAAAAAATATTGAAATTAAGATATTTATATGCAATGAAATAAAATTATATATAAATAATTATTTAATTTTTTTTTCCTTTATAAATATCTTTAAAATAATTTATTTTTAATTAAAAATTATAGTTAATGATTATTAAATAGAATTAGATGATTGGGTTAAATATTAATCAACTTTGTGCATAAAAAAAGAAAATTTCGAATAACAAAATTTAGAAAATTTAATTTAACATATAAAAATATCTTTTTAACTCAACTAATTATAAGACAAATAATTATAATAAAAAATTTATTAAAGAAAAGAAAAATGTATTGCCTAAATTCTGAAACATGATTATTTAATTAAAGAATAAAATGAATTAAATTAAATTTTTTAAATATTTTCTTAATAAAAATAGGAAATAAAATATAATAAAATAAATAAAGATAATACTGATGAATTACAAATAGAAATATTAAAATTAAGTGAAGAGTTAAATAATATTAATTACAAAAATAATCAAAATATTCACTAATTATAATAAAAAGTAAATCTAGAAATCTGCAAGCAATAAATTATCTTTTTATAAAATCATAATTAAGATTAAAATGTTGATTTTATTGATTAACAGAATAAACACTTGATTGAAAAGAACTTTAGTAAATTAGATGATATGAATGTATAACTTAAATTTTTATAATAAGTTATCCTAAAGCTTGAAAAAAAACAATTATCAGAAACAATTTCTTGTTTAATTGCAGTAAAGAAATAATCAGAAAGTAAAGTATTTATAATAAATGTTATTAAAATTAACATATTAGATATATTTTTTATTAAAGAGTTATTTATTTATAAAACATTTTTAATACACATATATATATATATAAAGATAAGTATAAATATTAAGTACGGTTTGAAAAAAGTTACAATAGCTTTTTTGAATGGATTGATGAGTAATTATATGAAGAACTAAATAATATGAGAGATTAAAATTTATATTTATTTTATAATATACCTTAAAAGACATTATATTCACATACAACTAACAATGTATAAAATTATAATTTTATTTATATAATTATTTATGTTTAATATAATAAAAAAGTATTTTGGTCTTTCATATATATTAAAAAATCGTCAAAAATAAAACACTTTAAGATAAGCAGATATAAAAAGCTTAATTAAAAAAAGAGAAACTCCACCTTAAATGATGAATGACTTTGATATATGCCACCATTGCAAATAATTCTTTTAGACTTCAATTTTATTATAATGTAATTATAAATAATCTATAATGGGATAACCAGGGCATTAATATGTAATAACAGATCCATATTTATTTTATTTTAATGATCATGAAACTATTAATAGTTCTAAACCATAAATAAACAAAAAAAGAAACTGCTATACATTATATCAAAAAGTTAATGGAGATTTAGTTTGTAAAAGAATGTATTGTAGAGCCTGTTTAAAATAAAATTATGATTAGATTTTAGCAGATATTAAAGATAAGAAAGATTGGATTTGTCCTTTTTGTTAGGTTTTTATTATATTTTTTATTTTTTTATTTATAATTTAAAAAGGGAAATTGCTATTGTACTAGATGTATTAGAAATGATTTAATTATGAAATATAAAGGAATATGTATTTTATTAGGTGGAGATATAAATTAAATATAGAAGGAATCTTTATTAGAATATTATTCATAAAATAATACTTTAAATAGATTGAAAGACTAACAAAAGAGCAAAAAATCGAAAATTAAAGACGAAATTATTGAAAATAAAAAAAATATTGAATAAATTAAAGATATATGCTTAAATGTTATGTATAGAGAATAAAAAAAACTAGAATTATAGGAATCGTCAATGGAATTATTTAGAGCTAAATATAATTAAATTAAAAAAAAACTTAAAATATGAAATAAAATAAAATATATATATATATAAATAAACTATAATCTAAAAAAAAAAGAAAATTTATTTTTATTATAAATAAATAAATATATTTATATATTTTTTTTGTTAATTTAATAAAATATATTATTTAAAAATTTTCATATTTAAATTTCTTCATCTTCATCTTGAAAATAGTGATTTTTTAACCTATTTTAAAGAATTTTTATTCTAACAAGTTCAGAAAAGTCAACAATTTTATCGTCCTATTTATTTTTTTTAATATTACAAGTGCTAAGTTTAAGTTCTTTAAATTACTAAGGAAATTTTTGTATAAAATTATTATTAAAATAACTACTTTAAGAACCAGGTTTTTCAAACTTATGCTTAATTTAAAAATATTCATCATTGGTTTATCTAAGTTTATTTTCAACATCAGTAGCTACTAATTTAATAACTTTATTAGATTTAAATATTGATTATTTTGTGGTAGTATCTTTTATTTTTTCTTCAAATTTCTTTTTTCGAGAAAATAATAAAATATTATTATTATTATTATTATTATTATTATTATTATTATTATTTTTATTTCTTAATTCATATTTTCTTATATTTTTGTTGTATTATCTATTATTTATATTTAATTTTCTTACAACTTTTCTTCTTCTCGATGCTTTTTTTTCTCTATTTTTTCTTTCTCTATTCTTTTTTGTCTTTCTTGTTCTCTTAATTATGCATAATAATGCATAAAAACGCTTTTCAGTTTCTTTTATAATCCAAGTACTTTATTTTCTCTCTATTACAAAATAATATTTTTTAGAGTTTTTTTTTTCTGTTTTTCTTCTATTATATTTTTTAAGGCTTATCCTACTTCATCATCACCTAAATCAAAATTTAATCCCTATATTTTTTAATTTTTTTTTTAATTTCTTTTATTAAAAATTTACTTTGTTTATTGCTAAATTAACATTCCTTTATTTTTTTTAAACTTTAATGAAATGTATTTATTCTTTTAGATTATTTTTTAATTGTATAAATTATATATTATTATAAAATTCAAGATTTTATTCTAAATACATCTAATTATAATTATCTTTAATATTAGAATTTAAATCATTAAATTTTTTTTATGTAACCATTTTATTTACAAAATCGATCACTTTTTTATCTTTATCGCATCTTTTTATTACATTTTTACATTTCTTCATTACTTCATCCATACAATTAATATTTTCTTTATTAACTTTTACATCAGTTATTTTTCTCATGAATTCATCTAAATATTTTACCTTTTTTATATTTATTTTTTTAATAAATTATCTCATATATATGTACTTTTTTTATACTTAAAATTCTTAAGCATTTCTAGGTTTTTTTAGTATTTTCGTAAATTTTTCTATTCTTTGTTCTATTAATGATTTTTCTTATTTTTTTGGTACATTTTTATTTTAGTAAGGCAAATAAACTTAAAAAATTAATAAAATTAAAATTATAAAAAAAAAGAAATACAATCATTAGAATATAATATTTTAGAAAAAGTCTCTTATTAAAGATTAGTTATATTTTTTTATTAATTATTGTTTATATTATTTTTTTATTTTATTGATAAATTTGTTTTATATTCATTTTCAGGTCTTTTTACATCCAGTTAAATTGAATTTTCTTTTGATGATTTAAAAGAAGAATCAAACTTTTCATCATCTAAAGAAGAATCTTTATTAAAAAAGCTTGCATCTAAACCAATAAAAGACAAATCGGAAGCAGTTTTATATGAATCATTAGAAATAGATAATTAAGTAGTCAATTTTTCATTATTTTTAGTTATCATAGATTAAAAATTTGTTTATGAATCTTTTTTTCCAAATATTTTATTATCTTCTTAAATTATATTTTAGTTTTATTTTATAGGTTAATGCATTATTTATGAATTTTCTTCTTGATCTTTTTTTATATATATATATATATTTTTAATAATTATATATATAATACCTTCTATAGTTTACAATTTGTTTATATTTTTAGTTTATTAAACTTTTAAAGGTTTTTTCTAAATATTTTTAAGTAAATTAATATTTTATCGCTAACTTACTGTTATGTATTACATTTTATTTAAATCTTTTGTATGAAATTTATCATATAAAATTTAACTAAAAAACTAAGAAGTATTATTTTCTGTTTATTTTTTATATTTTTCTTCTTCTTATTATCTATTTTTAATTAACAAAAGCTCTTTCCATAATACTTTTTAACAAATATATTCGAACTCTCCTTATTCTTCTAAAAATTAAGTATATCTTTTTCCTATTTCCATACATATTCTTGCTACATGTTTTTTTATAGAGTCTATTTTTTATAAATATTTATTCGCAAAAAATTCAGCAAGCTTACATGCTTCTAATCTATTTATTTATTTGATATAAAAAAAAAAAAAAATAACAAAAATATATTTACACTTATTTATATTTATTTTATTCTTCATAAAATTTAGCTAAATTAATCAAACACATTATTATAGTTTTTACACATTTTACTTATATTGCATAACTTTTATTTGAAAGTGTTGCATTTGGAGCTTTGTCACATAAATTTAATCTATATTCAAATTAAAGTAAAATTATAGCATTTTCAGTATAACTAATTGCTTTTTAAATACTTTTTTTGTTTTTTAAAAAAATAAAATTAAAAAAAATATATATATATATATTAAATACTCATCACTCTCAAAATAAAAATTAGCAAGTGCTATTTTAACTTTTGCGCACAAATGAACAATTTTTGTATACTTTTTTTATTAAAAAATTAAAATATAATAAGTTTAAATTTCAAAATAATTAATAACTTAATAACTAGATATTTAATCCGCTATACTATTTGCTTCTTGTAGATAAAAAAAGCAAATCTTAAATTTATTCTATCTTTTATAAACAAAAGAAACAGTAATAAAAAACTACATCAAACTAATCAAAAGCATATTAATTTCATAATTAACTTTAAATTAAAAAAAAGTATTAAATAAACAATTATTTTTCTTTATTACTATTAAGATTTTTGTTTGGCATTAAATAAATCATTTTATATAAAGTATCACTAGAATAAATTTCTTTTTTAGAATTGTATTCTTACTTAAGTTTCTTTGAAATCTTATATTAATTAAACTATTCAGAAGTATATTAAAATTATTAACTGTAACTATCATCATCAGAAGTTAAATGTGAAGTATCATTTAAATATTTCTCGTCACTATTTTTTTACAACCCAATTTTCTACATATAAATATTAAGAAATCTTTTTCATAAAAAAAAAAAAAAAATTAAATAAATTATTTTATTAAAAAAACAAAAAAAAAAAAACTTATAATTTTCTGATAATAGTCTAACCACTTTATCTATTAAAGATACTATTTTATCTTCCATTTCACTTTCAATATCATATGAATATACTTTCAATATTTTCAAACTGCAGCATATTATTCTTTTATTCAAAAGTATTTTTTATGTTATGCTTAAACCTCTTTTTGGTTTATATTATTCTAATAATGTGAGTATTTTTTTATAAGCTTTTTATTTGTACATTTATCCTATTACTTTATAAATATTATCAAATTCTCCATTTAATAATGCTTTTTATTTCATATCATCTTTATTGGTTACTGATTAAGGAACATTAATTTCTTATTATTGTAATATTGATTGAGAAATTTAGAAATTTGAAATTACTATTGCTGATTCATTCTTCATTTTTTGTTTATTTTATGTACTTAGTAGTATAGTATATATATAAAGTTGTATTTATAATTAATTTATTTTTTAATTATTTACTTTTTAATTTTATTTACTAAATATTAAATTTTATTTTTCGAAATATTAAAAGTTACATTTGTTAGAAATTCAAAAAAACATAATAATATTAATTAAATTATTATAATATATGCAACTGATACGAAAATAAAATAAAAAAAAAATGATTAATTATCACATATAAAATAACTATTTTTGTTTGAAAAAACAATATAATATATATTTATTTATAAAAAAAATATTATTATTATTTATATTTACTAAATATAATTAATATATATATAAATTAAAAAAAATAAAGTGTTTATAAATAAATTTTATTATATTTTTTAAAAAATTTAATTAATAATAGACTATTATAAATATTATTTACTTATATTCATTTATGTGTATATTATATTTTTTTTATTATAATCATATATTTAATTTTTATCAATTATTCATATTACATAGTTAAAATTAAAATATAAAAAATAATGTATTATTTATTTTTATATTTAAATTATGTTAATAATTGATTCAAAAATAAATAAAAGCAACTAGTAAAAATTTCTAAATCTAAAATATTATATTTTGATAAATCTAAAATTTCTGTATCTATATTATTTAAAGATAGACTTCCTTAATTATTACATTTAAATATTTTTCTATTTATTATGTTTTTAATAATGATAGCTCTATAATTAATTCTAATTTTAATTAAGTATCTTTAACAAACTAATAATTTTAATGTAAATTTGAAGAATAATATATATTTTCCTTAAGATGTAATTAGAAAACAAAGCTTTAATTACATATATAAAATATTATATTCTATTTAATATTTAATATTTATCATATAAGCATCTTTATATACGATTTGAAATCATAACTAATAGTATCATGAAATATTTTTAAATTAGTTACACTTTAAATTTAAATATTATTTTTTTAAGTTAAAAACACTTGTATTTGGGTTCAAAATTTATTAAAAAAAACTCCACTATTTTAAATACTTGTTTTTATTAAATAATAATTTTTTGTTTATAGTTTATAATATAAAAAAATTACATTATTTTTAGTCTATATTATATTAAATAGTTTAATTAATTTTCTATACAATACATTTTGCATATATAGATTTCTTAAGACTATCAATATACCCATTCTTTTATTATTTATTTATAAGTGTAAAATAAATTAAAAATATGTTATTTTTATAGATTAGATAACTTTTTTGGATTATTTAATAATATTAATTCATACTTAACTTTACTTATTTCTTAATTTTTATTTATAATAATTAAAAAAACAATCAATTAAAACTCTTTTTATTATTCTAAAATACAAAAACTAAACTAATATAATTAAATAATATTAAATCTTCTTTTATATATAAAAACATTATTTATATACTGTATAAGATAATATATCCTAAAATCCATATTTTATCCATAGGAAGAATAACTATTCTAAAAAGAAATTATTTTTTAGATAAATTCTTGTAGTTTTCTCAATTTATTTGATTATCTTAAATAATTTTTTTATAATATCTTACAATATTACATCAAAATATTATTATTTTAAAGTGAAGTGATAATTTAATTTCTTATTTTCTTATAAAGAATTTATTATAGTTACGTATATATATATAATAAATAAACTTATGTCTGGCAAAAAATTAATAAAAAAGATATTTAGTAAAATATATAATATTCATTATTTTATAAAACAAAAATATAAAAAATTATAATTTAAGTAAATATTCTTATTTCCTTATTATATATTTGTTTTATTCTAAATATCTATTTTTGTTTTAGTAATAAGATTTATATTAATTTGTTATTGATTTATTATATTTAATTATAATAAAACTAAAAATACACCATAGTAATTTTTCAATATTTTTACACAATTTGTTAACTAATAAACTTTTTAATTGTATATATTTGTTTATTTGTAAAAATTAAAAGTAAATAAATAATTAAATGATTTTTCAATAAATTGAATTAACAGACTTATTAATAAATTCATATGAGAAGTTTAAGAATTTAGAATGTAATACATCAAAAGTATTCAAAATTTTATAAAGCATCAGGATTATTATTTAATGTGAAATTTAAGATACTTATACTAAGTATTTTTTTTATGTATAATAAATTCATATTTTTTTTAATTTTTAAATATATTAAAGCTTTAACATAAACTCATTTTAAAAATATTTGTTTATATTTCAATTAAAAAATATATCGAAGTGTTTATGATTTTTTAAAATTAGATAAATATAAATCTTCTATATCTCTATTTATATATATTAATTAAAATATAACATTTTAAAGAAATCAAAACTATTTTATTTTTATAACTTGATATAAATCTTTTAAATTTTAATTAATAAAAATAAATTTATTTAGCATTTTAATAAAATTAAATATTTATAAAAAATTAATCAAATTTACATTTTAGTAATTCTTCACATTTATTACAATTAATAATTTATAAAATAATATTTATTTTTTATTTTAAAGAAACATGAAAATATTAAATTACATTATACCAATATATAATTTATTATTATTTAAAACTTATAATTCGAAAAACGAAATGTTTAAAACATAAAAGAAATATATATTTAACAATTAAATGAGTTTTAATAAAAATATATAAAGACTTAGCCTCGAAAAGTTAAAACTTTGATTAAAATCAATTAAATCTATTAAACATATATTCATCTTGAATTAAAAATTTTAAACGCACTTGAATTTTATAAACCTAAAACTTTTTAAATATACGAAAGATAATGATTTAATATCATCCGTATTTAATAAGTGTAGAAGAAGAATGTATTTTAAAATAAATTAAAACAAGAAAGCTTTTCTGGCATAAACTTGATAAAAAAATAATAAGATGCTTATGTTATAGAATTAAGTTCCATATTCCGTAATTATCTAAAATATTTTAGATTATATTTAATTTTTTATTTATATTAGAATAAGATATTAATAAAAGATAAAGATTAAGAAGTTACGAAGACAAGATCTGTAATTTATGATTATAGAGGACATTAAAAATAACAATAGGATGAAAATAACGAAATAATAAAATCCTATTTTATAAGATTATTATTATGTAAGGCTATTTAGTTTTTATATTATTGGGGCTAATTGGTATTTTTTTAATTTAAATATATTTTTATTTTTAATATAAGGGCCCTATAGAGTTACATTTAAGATTGTCACTACTTTTTATGAGTAACAGAAAATCAAGTGAAGGTTATAGAGTTCTTGCATGCGTCTAATTAATAAATATAATTTATTCTAATAATATGTAGGCCATAAAATACAAGAATAGATCTAATAATAGAATAAGGAAAGTATTTTAAAATATGAAAAGAAGATAATACAAAAGATGATAAAGTTAAAGAAGAAGACGTAAATAATTATAGGAAATTTAAAAGAAATTTTATGAATATACAAGAATTAAAAAATGAATAATAAACTTAATAGTTAGAATTATTTATAATTTATATATATTATTTATATTTTTGATAATAAAAAATAGTCAAAAATAAAATATGATAATATATAATTGTCTAAATATTATATTTTAAAATGAATATTATTATAATTAGATTTAATTTGATTTTAATTAAAAATCTACTCAATAAGGATTTTTATTTTTGGTAATTAATAAAAGCAAAAAAGTGCTAAATTAAATAAATATAAATTAATTTTAAATATTTTTTTTAATTTTGATTTTTAGCCCCTCTATTTATATATATAATTTTAAGTATATAAATTATTATTTAATTATATATTATATAAATAAAATAAATTTAAAAAAAAAATGTATAATTAAATATTTATATAATAATCTGATGAAAAAACCCTGAGTTATCTTATTTAATGATGACTTTATTAGGTGAACAATCCCTGACAAATATTAAATATAAAATTTTATAAATTTAAAACAAAAAAAAATAAAATATAATATTAATTAGAAAAAAAATATTTATATTTTATATATATTAATATTTTATCTAATCATTTTAATTTATATGTAAATAAATTTAAATAAAAAAAATGGTTTTATGACATTTATATAGCTATATTTTATTTCAGTTTTAAAACATTATAATTATTTTTAAGAAAATTAATCTATTTAAATAAATAATTTTCATTTAAATAGCTATGTATATATTTAATTTAATTTTAATAATTCACTATTTCATCTAAAAATATTTATGCAAATAAAAGATTTATTATTATATTTATTTAAAAATACTAATAAAAAAATTATAAGAGCCGAAAATAAAATAATAATTAAGTTTTACATAAAAAAAATTAATTAAAAAAATGAATATTAAATCAGAAAAATTATAATATTAGAAAATAGAAAACTAAAAGTAAAAATAATGTTAAAAAATCTAAAATATTTTATAATATATATATTATAAAGCATTTCATAAATATATTTATTTTTTTAATATTGTAAAATTTATTTATTATTTTATCATATTATTCTAAATTTTATAAATAAAAAGATTTATATTTTAATAACTTAATGAAAATTCAATATTATTATAAATAAAATGCTTGTTTTATCAATATTATTATATTTTTTATATAATGATTATTTTTTATGATAATAATCTTTAAAAAATTTAATTTAAAAATAACGTTAATAATATTTTTCTCATAAAGGGAAAGTGTTTTCTTATTTTTACAATTAAAACAAACATGCTTTAATATAAAAAATCATAGAAATAATTATAATCGATTTTTCTAAATATTAAAACAAAAATTATTATCATAATTATTTTTCTTAAAAATAATTATATAGATAATAATAAAATAATAAATAATCACAAAGAAATAAATATATTATAAATAAGAATACAATATATATATAAATAAAAATGTTATTTACAAAAATAAATCAAATAATATTTATTCTAATAATAATAACTCCGTTTATAATTTCAAATTTTGTTGAAGAATATTTTTTGCATGAATAAAAAGTGGATCATTTTAATCCATTATCAATAGATTTATGGGATTAACGTTATTTTTAGATAAGTAAAAATCAAAAACACCACTTTAAATATAATAGGCTAAAATGAACATAATAATGTTATGTAATAGTAAATGTAATTAATAATATTTACAATAAATAAATAATATCCCCGAATAATTTCATTTATTTATAAATAATGATTAAGATTTTAATTTTTTTGTTTTAGAATAAAGATACTTTGGAGAATCACTTCCTTTTCGAAATTATAAGTATAATCCTGACTTTATGAAATATAATACAATACATTAAATACTAGCTGATATAAATGAATACTTATATTCTTTATAATAATATAATATAACAAACCCTAATTAAAAAAAGTTTAATTTAAATAGATAATATAATTTTTTTAAAAAATATAATAATAAAAATAATTAGTATATTAGTCGGAAATGAAATTACAGGATGTTTAGCGATTTGGGCTTAATAAAAATACAGTAATTCAATTTAAAAAGCAATAGTAATAAATAGCCCTTCAGAAGTAGTATTATAATATGGTTAATATGATGAGGAAATTTTTAATAATCTTCTAATTGAAAATTAACAATGTTTAAATAATATATTGGGAATAAGAAATTTTATTGAAGAATAATTAAGTGATTTTTAATTTGCGAAAAATTTCAAATAGTTTTTTTTGTTTAAAAAAGATATTGAAAACATGTTCTTATTGTATTTCTTCTCAGAGTCTTTATCTAATTTATTAAAAAATATAGAAAAAAGAAATTAGTTTTGTCAATAAACAGTCTAATTAAATTTAATGGCGTAGGTAAAGTATATTATAGACAATTCTAGTATTTTTTAGAATGAAATTTTATATGAGAATTAGGATAATTAAAACGCAAAAAATTTAAAAAATAATGAATTTTTAAATAGTTTATTTTTATAATGCGCATCAATAGGCTTATTTAAAGTTGGTAATAATGAATATAGATCTATTCGTTCTAATTTGATAAATTTAAAATTATTAAGATAGATTTGCTCTCATTTTTTTAGTGAATTTGCATGGCCTGATATAAAATAATTCAATTATTTTTTTAGAGGAAATTAAAAAGAATTCAAAAATGTGCTTTTTTTAAACTAAAAAAACAGATTAGACTAATATTTGTTAATAAAATGTTAAGAAAAAGAAAAAAATAATTATTAAAATCTTAAATAAAAAAAAAAGAATAAAAAAGACAAAAAGAATAAGAATGTAATTTCTAATAAAAATATTGATAATTAAGAAACTTAAGATTGTTTTTATATTGATGATTTTAATTCTGATTAGATTAACTAAAAAATTTTAAGCTGGCTCTAAATACACGATTAGAAAAAATAAATTCATGAAAAAATTAAAATCAAATAAAAAAAAAAAAAATAAACAAAAAAAAAATGAAATTTTCCACTTTTTTTTTGTTTTAAGTTATGTGTTTTTTTTTATTTACCATTTTAAAAAAAGTTTATATTTAACTATTTAAATTTTATTTTATTATTTAAGAAAAAATTATCGCATTCATATAATTAATTTAACTCTATTTTTTATTTTATTATATAGTTATTTCTCAATAACAAATATTAATAACGATTTTCAATTAGAAATAATATATAATTTTTATTTTATATAATTAATAATATTATATTTGAAAAAAATATTTTTAATATGTTATTTTTTTTAAAAAAAAAAATTAGTTTGTTATTTTAATCTTAGCTACTAAATTCCATTAATTATTGAATTTAATAAAAAAAATATCAATAAATAAAATAGATTTATTTTAGTTTAATTATATAAAAAAAAATATATATTTATATTATGTAAATTATTAAATATCAAAGAATAAAGTAAGCTAAAGTATATTTCTTAGTAAACTTTTTATAAAATTTTATTAAAATTAATATATTTTAATATAAAAAAATTAATATATTTTAATGGAAATCGAAAATAACTAGAGTAAATATAATATAAATAGCTTAATAATCTTTATTTAGAAAAATATTCAAAACATAGCAACCTAAGATGCTCAGGAGCTCGCTTAAATATATATTTAAAATATAGATTAAAATTTTATCGAGAAAAACGTAGATTTATATATATTAGTTGAAAGTTCTATAAGTGATATTTTCTTAAAAAAAAAAAAAATTTAATGTTTTTAGTCAGTTTTATACGACTACCTTAATCACAAAGAAAACAAAAGCAAAATGAAGCAAGAAAGTAATTAAAACTAAATAAAAAATATTGATAACAATCTAATCATTTAATTTTAGAAAATATCAAAATATAAAATGTTAAATCAAGATAAATTATAAAAAATCCAATAATTAAAAAAAGACTTATTTGATTAATGATGTAATTAGATATTAATTTTAAAAAATATATTTATAATAAATTAAAATAAGTTTATTTCATATAAAAAATTTATAAAAAAAAAATTATATAAATCCTTATTATTATTATTAAAATTATTTATAAAAAAAAATTAACTTTATGTAAAAAAAATAATAAAAAATTATACTATTAATAAAATAAATTTTATTAATCTAGATGTTAATATTGACCATATTTAAATTATTATGTTCATTACGATAAAATCAAAGCAATAATAAGTCCATATAAACCCAAAGCCTCGGCAAAGATAAGAATTAAAATCATTCCAACAAAAATTTTATCTTATTGAGCATCTTAGTAAAAAAAAATTAAATAAAAATATATAAATATTAAAAAAATTAAAATATATAAACAAATATATAAATATAAATATTTTATAATAAATATATATATATATATATATATTTATTTATTTATTTTATTTACTAGCTCTAACTCCTGCATCTCCAACTATACCAATAGCTAATCCTGCAGCCTTTTATTATATATGATTTAATTCATATTTATATTTAAATAAATTTTTATAATTATTTAATTTTAATATATATTTATTTTTTACTAATGAAGATAATCCACAACATAAACCAGCAGCAAGGTGAGAATAGCAACTGTGACTATCATAACCGGTTTTACCAACTTTTTTTTTTTTTTTTTTTTTTTTTTTTATATTTACTTTTCTAGACTAAAATAACTGCTACAATCATACCATAAATTCCCAAAATACCTGCCATAACTACTGGAATAATAGATTTCATAATTAGTTCAGGTTTTAATACACCCATAGAAGAAATTCCTACACCTGATTTTGCTGTACCGTATGCAGCCCCCAAATCTTTTTTTTTTTATTATTAAATATATTTAAATTAAATTTCTACTTGCAAAAACTAAAGCACTAGCAACTCCAATAAATCCGAAGAAATAATTGATTCCGTTATTATCGTCAGCCATTTTATTTTATTTTATTTTGATTTTGATTATTTTTTTTAATTTACTTTTTTATATTTTAAATAATTTATTTTATAAAAAATAATTAAAAATAAAATATTAAAGAAAATCAAATAAAAAAAAAAATATCAAACAAAGATTATCAAAAAAATAAAATGAGATATTTATTTTTATTTATTCTTTTATTATTATTTTATTTTACAAATTTTATTATTAATATTTTTGTTATCTCCGACTCATTATTTATGTAATATAAATTTTTTATTTTAAATAAAAATATATTTATTATTTTTTTATTAATTATTTCTCTATTTTTTTATTATTATTTTTTTAATTTTTTGAATTAATTAAAAATTTAAATTGATTTTTTTTTTAGCTATTAAATATTTAAATATATTTTTTATAAAAATTAGTTAAATTTCAATATCTTAATATTTCAAATTACTTTTCAAATAATTATCTAAATTTTTTTTTTTTAAATTTAAAAATCTATAATAATAATTTATTCTAAAAAATATAATTTATTATAAATAATTCGAAATTTTTATGTCTTTTTTCAATATTTTTTGAAAATTAAATTTAAATATTTTAGCTATTATTTTTTTAACTAAATTTTTTAAAAAATATAATAAATAAAAACATTAGAAAATAAAATGATTTATTTTACAATATACAATAAGTATTTATAAATTTTTATTTTATAAAAGAACTATAATATCATTTTTTACGATAAATATTCAAATGAATAATCCGATCATAAAATATAACTAAAATTTGGTTAAAAAATAGCAAAGCTAGATTATAAAAAAAACTTAAATCTTGTTCTTTTAAAATAAGATATAGACTCTAAAAAGATTTTGATTTTTAAAAATTAACGAAAATATAAAAAACCAAAAATAATATTCACAATGTAATTTTAAGAAAATATTTTAGACATCAAAATATAAAATAAGGATAATATTTTTGTTTTATATTATAGTAAAATACTTATTATTAATATTTATTAACGAAAGATTATTTATATTATAAACATAAATTATAGTTTTTCAAATGATTTATAATATTTTAGCCAAAATTTATATTTTAATAATTCTAAAATTATAAATAATGGTAAATATAGTTATTGTAATATTATCAAATTCAATAGTTTGAGAATAATAAGATTATTTTCTTCTTTAAAATATAAAGAAAATGAACTTTACATATTCAAAAGTTATGCTTAATTTCAATTATTTGAAGTTGTTGAAAAAAATGTTTTTATTTTAGATTTTTAAAACTCTATTTTGCTTATTTATTATAATTAATATGAACGAAAAATAGAAGAGTTAAAATAGTTTGAATTAAATGATTTTAATAGAAATATTTATTTTTATAGCTTTTCTCTTAAATATTTAATTGTTATTAATTAAACTGCTAACTTAATTTATATAGATCTTTAAAAATAATAATAATTATAGCTTATTTTTGTTATAGAAAAAGATTTTAACCCTGAAAAACATATAATTTTATATAGTAATAATGAATTTATCTAATTATTTAATTAAGATACTATACTTAATGATTTTGATGATATTCTTTTCTAATACGTGTAATCTGAAATACTTCATTATAAAGAAATATAAGAATGAAAGATTAATTCTTTAAATATTAATAATGAAACCAAACGTTAATATAAAATATTTAATTCATAAACAAACAAATAAAAATTATATATTTAAATCTTTATTTTTTATATTTCTTTTTAGTATATTTCAATTAAATAAAATAAATAATTTCAAGATATTTTATTAAATATTATTTTGAATAAAAATAAATAAAAAAAAAAAATCATATTTATATAAAAATAATGAGTAATAATCCAGCCATATTAATAGAAGATTTAGCAAGATTATTTTAAGAAAAAGATTAAGAAGCTATATTAATATCATTATAAAATTGTATTAATAATCCAAATGTAAAAAAAATACACAAACAATTAAAAACATTAACTGCAAAAAAATAAAAAAAAGTACATATAAAATAGCATATCATAAATAAAATACGAAGAAATAAAATTAAAATTAAAATCTCAAGATGAAATTCTCGACAATTTTATAGATTTTTTATGTTTATATATTAAATGGACAATAGAGCGAAAATAATCAAACGATTGTGATGTATTTTCTTTGTTTATTCAAGCCTCAAATAGTTTTAGAAATACCTTCGAAAAAATGCAATAATAACATGAGCAACTATTAAAACTAGTCTAAGGATTTTTTAAAATATGTAAAAGAGTAGCAAAACTAGCATTAGAATAAACTAAATAGCCAGACAAAATACTAAAGCAAATAGATAATTAATTTAACTAATACTCATCAGTTGTAAATAGATCAATAAAATAATTCGGTTGTGAATTTAAGAAAAAGATACTTCTTTAAACCTATAATGTATTACTTGCTTTTAACTTTTATAGATATAATTATCCTGGATGTTAAAGTTAATTGAATATGACAAAAGATTATTAAAGTATAACCAGTTAATAATTAATGGCATAACCAAAAAGTTAATAAATCACATTTATGTATTATTATGGTAGACTCCTTATTTTTTAACAAAACTATCAAAAAGCATTACAATCACTTTAATTTTCTTATAATTTATGCAATGCAGATGATTTTAAATAAAAAAGATAAATCCTTAAATATCTAATACCTGCGAAAATGCTTTGCGCGTAATTTCCTAGTTAAGAGTTAATAAAATATTATAAATTACAAGAATATTAAGAACTTACTGAAGCTATTATTTAAGGCAATATACATAAATATGAATAGGAAAGAGAAAAATGGAAAAAACTGTGGATTAAAAGAAGCCTTTATCTTATTTTTGGTAATTTATAAACTCTTTGTGTTAGAAATTTGTGTAAAAGAATTGTAGTTATTCTTTAAGATAAATATAATAATAAAATTCCTCTAGAATTATTAAAAAACGGGTTCTAATTTTCAGCACAATAGGAATTTTCTGTTGAAGAAATTGCTTGTATTATTGGAAATCAATTTTATATTGGATATTTGAAAGGATATGTTTATGAAGGACATACTGTGGTTTTAAGTAAAACCACTCCTGTTGTTAAATTTTAAAAGTTTTTAATTAAAAATGAAGAAGAATGAAGATTGACTATATTTATTATTATTTTCTGTTTTTATTTATATACTCTTGTTTTTAATTATAAAGATAATTTGTAACTTTTTGTTAATTAAATAAAATTTCTAAATAACAATTTTTAAAGTTTTTTGACATTTAGAAAAAAATTATAAAATATATATTAATAATTTATTTAAAAAATAATAATAATAAATGATATTATTTTATTATAAAAAGCCTTTATAACTCAGTTGAGAGAGCACAAGACTAAATATCTTGTGATTCTCGGTTTAATATGGAGTGAAGGCATTTTTTTAAAAATAATTAAATGATTTTGTTGCTTTTTTAATTTGTTTTTTTTACTGTTAATTATTATTTTTAATTTATTTATGTTGGTATAATTAAATATAAGTTATAGAAAAAGATATATAAAATATTATATTTAAATAAAATTTAGTTTGATAAAATGAATATTAAAAGTGCTTATTAAACTGCATATAATAAGGCAGATCCTAAATCATAAAATTATTATAATGAATTAGAAAATATATCATAGAAGTAATTTTTATTTTTAAAAATATTTTTTTCTTAAATTATTTTTATTTTGAACTTATATTATATATTTAAATTTTACGTAATAAATGTAACTATTGTATTTTAAATAAATAGATAAAGATTCGGGTTATTTACACAGCCACCTCCTTTGGCAGTAGCTGATAAATATGAGCATTAATAATGTTTATATAATTATAAATTTAATTAAAAATAATATATTTTTTATTTAATTATTAATTTTTTTTTTCTATCTAATAAAAAGTTCCAAGATAGCCTATTAATTTTTTAGTTAACCCTAAGCTTTAAAGTAAAGTAGAACCATCATTATTTTAAGTACCTTCATCAATTTTATAAGGTATTTAAATATTAAATCTATATACAAAACATATAACATATAAAAAAAATATTAAAAAGGTGATCCATATAAAGATTCTTATAAAGCTAAATATATAAAAGACAAAGAAAGGGTATCTACTATTCCTCATTAATAGCCTTTTAAAAATACTGATAATCATAAGACAATGTAAATAAATTAAATTATTATTTATATAAATTATTATGAATAAAAATTAAAAATTTATATTAATAAAATATTTTATTTATTAGAATTGGTAGTTAATATGAACATATGAAGGATTATAATGATAAAATCTATAATAAAAGAGATGAAAATGGTAATAATTATAAAAATATATAATAAAAATTTTAATTTTTATATTTTCATTCTTTTTATATTTTCAATATAATTAATAATCTATATTTAAAAAATAAAAGGAAATATTATTACAGGCCCAAAAAATTTTTTAACTAATCCTACAAAATAAGGATAAGGAAATACAACTATTGGTCATTTATTTAATCATGTTAATTATGAAAACGACCCATATAATAGAGAAAAAGAAATGGACAAAGTAAAAAAATACTAAACATTTATGAAATAAATTTATTTTTTAATTAAATATTATATAGAATGAAAGAGCTATTCATAAAAGTAAAATCTTAGATTTGAAAAAGCCTTTTATCAACTCGAAACATGGCTAAGGAATATTTAATCCCGATAGAATCGTTTATGGTTTAGATAGACCAATAACTGAAGTTTATTAAAAAAAAAAAAAAAATATTATTATTTATAATTAAAAATAAAAATAAGGGGATAAAAAGAACATATAATTATCCAGGTGTTTAACATCCTAAGGCTTTTAAAAATGCAGATATCCCTAAAAAAGTAATTTTACATATATATTTAAAAATATCAAATTTATATATAACATTAATTTTTTAATATTAAAAGGGATACAACAAAACTATTCAAAAATTTCCTTTTTATTCAGAAGAAGGAGATGTTCCAAGGGCTTGGAAAAAAACAATACCTTCTATGACATAAAGAGCTTGGATGTAAAATATATAAATTAATAATTATATTTATAATAAAAATCTATATATATATTATATAATAAAAATTATTTTGTCTATAGTTTCCATACAAGAGGGACACTTTCCAAACCCTGCCCTTCAATTGTTAGTATGAGTTTAAATAAAAATAAAATTAGCCAATTTAGAAGATGATTTTAATATTAAATAAAAAAAATGTTTTCCATTTTATTATTTATATATTAATTTTTAATACATTTTTTTTGTGAATAATATAAATAATATTAAATTGAATTATATTTTTTTTTTAACAAAAAAATTTAAAATAAATAAGTAAGTTATTAAAATTGAATATTTTTAGTAAAATTGATAAAAGTAAAATTTGAATATTTATAATTACAAACAAAAGTGATTTTAATATTAAACAAAAATAAACATAATATTGTAATTAATGTATTAATTAATATTAATATAAGAAAACATCCTTGTATAAATAAAATAAATTATTTTTTTTATATCTTATACTATTCATATAGTTTATTTTCAAATAACATTATAAGCTATTAAATCAATTGTACCAAAATTAACTACTCCTACAGTAGTAAAGTATATAAATCTTCTTAAATATTAAAGAATCAAATTATTATCAAATCCATGAAGAATAACATTAGAAATTAAGCTTAAAAAATAAGTTAAGACTAGAATTAATATTGAAGCTCCCATAAATTGTTTAGAAATAGGCTTTTCTTTCAAAATATAAATTAAAATAAAAGGTATTATCACAATGCATATACTTAGAAAAATATATTCATATTTAATAATTCCCATGCCTTAAAACTTTTCAATATGCAAGTATCCATAATATATTAATCCGCATACAAACAAATCTATAATAGTTATAATTATATAACAATTCCAAAACAGTTTTTTCAAATATTTTAAATCATCTTAATTTTTACTTATTTAAAATATTTAACAAACTGCTAAATTTCCTATTAATGCACTAGAAATAATACACCAAACGGTTGTCAATATATATTATAAACCATTATCAAAACTTTCAAAATTATTAATATGTAATAGATGCATTTATTTATAAAAATATTCTTTTTATTAAAAAAAAAAACAATCAAAGTTTTAATTATAAATATGCTTTTATTAGGTTATTAATTTAAACAGATTTTTAATATAAATATTTAAATAATAGAAGTAATAAATAATAATTTTTTATCAATTATTTAATAAAAAAAAATATTTAAGATTTTTTATAGTTTTTTTTTATATAAAAATACTTTTTTTAACTTATTTTTTGTTGACTCTAAAATTATTTATTTTTATAAAATAATAAAAAATATGAATTTATTTTTAAGAATTTTTTAAAAAAAATTCATTTAATTTTCCTTCATCTACTTCAATAATTTTTTATGTAACTTCTTATCTTTTTAGATTGCTTCTAGTTATGCTTCCGTTTCTATATCCTATTCCTTATTATCCTTAGAATGGTGTAGTCGGATTACTCTAAAGCTATATTTATAATTAAAATAAAAAACTATTTCTTTTTTTTATAAATTTAAAAAAAATTACAAATATAACTTCTGTAGGACAAGTATGCTCTATTTCTTTTTATCGGTTATTTAATGCAATAACAGGTATAAACTCATCTTTAGAAGATTAAATAATGTTTTCGGGGGTAATAATTTGATTTTTTATTTTTTTAAATATTTCAATCATTTAATTTTTATCATAAATCAATGTAATATCTTTTCCTTTTTTAGAATAAAAAACTTCGAAATTTTTCTACTAACTTCCGTTTCTAAATTAGTCTTTATTGAAACTAACTTTTCTTTCTTTTTTATTGAGATCTGTATTATTTTATTTAACTTCTATATTTTTTATATTTTCAACTTATTATCTTTATTATTATTATTATGGTTTTTCTGTTTATTATAAATTATATATTATTTATTAAATTTCGATTGGTTGGTTTTCTTTAGAATTAACTTTTTTTTTCATAAAAATATAGTATTTTATTATTTATGAAAAAATTAATTTTACTTAAAATAGGGAAATCTTTTTCATCATCCACAAATAACTTTTAGGGCTTTTTGGTTTTACCATTGTTTGTTTAATTATATTTTTTATTATGAGAAAGATTATTATTTTTCTTATTAAATTTATTCTTTTTAATATTGAAATCGTTACTTTTATTGTTATTATTTCGGCTTTTGCTTCTTTAATTATAATTTCTGTTATTATAATATTAATTTTATTTATTATTGCTTAACCCTCTTTCTTTATGGGCATTAAATCTTCTAAATTATTATTATTATTATATTTAAATACTTTAATTTTGTTATAATTATTATTAGAAAAATAAAAGATTTGCTATAAATAAAGATAAAAATATAACTATAATAAAATATAAATATAAATAGATTTTTTTACGATCAACCATAGGAATATAAGAACTGTAATTTTTATCTTCATGTCCTTATTTTCTAATATAAAATTGATTTTGATAATCTTGATAAAAATAATAATTGAAAGGATTTGAGGAGGCTTAAATTTATTCAGCGTTTGTCGAAATTTCTTTGATTGGATATGAATTCCAAAAGAATGATAAATTTTAATACATTTCTTATGATTTATCATCTTAAATTCTTTTTTTTTATTTTATTAATTCTTTTACTTTCTAATAAATATAAATATAATTTTTTATTTACTTCTTAAAATAATTAGTTAATTCCTCCTTTGTGTTAGTAAGGAAACTTTAATATACATTTTCTTCTACGACTTAAGATTCTTTAGGTTCTTCTCCCTTTATTAATTTTTTTATTTATTAAATATCAAAAACACTTTATTAATTAATATTTACTTTAAATTTATTTGCTAAAATCCAATTTTAAAACTTCTAAGTTTCTTCCTCTGTTTTAAAGGAAATATGTAATCCATTATTATTTGTTTTAACTGAATCGACAATTGTCTTTTTAAAATAAACATTTTAATAAATATATATATATAAATTATACATGTTCGAAATTTGTTTAGCAATAATTAATAAAATCCAAAATTTTTTAATCTTCAATATTTTGTTCAACAAATTTAACTAAAACCCTCACTTTCAAAGGCTATATTTTAGGAACAACACATAATTTTTAAGTATTAATTGTAAGACAATCAGTTTTTTTTAATGCTTGTAAAACATAACGACCATTAGGACATATTTTATAAATATCTTTTTATTAATATATAATCTAAAGTGGTATTTCTAAATTTTCATTCATTCTTGCAATAAAATAAACATCTTTTTCTAAATTCTCTCTTTTGAAAATTTAAGTAATCTTTTTTAATACAGAAAATATAAATAAAACAAATTTCAAAAAAATCATATTGAAATAAAAAGTTTAATTTTTTTTTTTTAAAAATAAAATAAAATCAATAATATATTTACTTTATCAATTAGTTATTGCTACAGTTCAGGCGTATCTATTTGATATTAATATATTTAATAAGTAATATATATTAAAAATGTTAATAAAAATACCGAATTTATGAGTTATGTGAGTCATTTATTAGAGATAATTTTATATTTTATTAACCTTTTTATTAAATAATTTTTTAATTATTTTTTGAAATATAATTTTTATTTTATATAAAACCACATTTTTTATATCAAATTAGTTTTGTCCAAAAAAAAAAAAAAAATTATGATAATAAATTATATTATTAATGTAAAAAAAAAAAAAAATTAATTTTTCTCTTATTAAATTACTAATTAATATTTATATTATTGCTTTTTGTTTTTTTTTTTTTGATAAAATAATCAAATAAAATTAAAAATATTATAAAGATTATATTAATAAAAATGCTAAAAGTAAAAAAAATATTAATTAATTGAATTTCAAAAACAAACTATAAATTATTTATAGAAAAATTGATAATATTTTTTTTTTTTTGTTAATGAAATTAAATAGATTTTAACTATTAGTTTTATATTAAACTTTTATAATAATTAAAAAAAAAAATTATATAAAAGAAATTTATTTTTTTATTTTCTTCCAAATTTACATATAAATTTATTAAAAAATATTATAAACTTTTAAAAATTTTTAGTACTTCTTTTTTATAATAAAATTTTCATTTATTTGCTTTTTTTCTGTGCCTTTTTTCTTCTTCTAAGTTTTCGTTTCCTTTTTCATATAATTCTTTAAATAAATTTTTACATTCAGGCTCTAAATATCCTCCAAAAGATTTATAACTTTAAGCCCCGTTATTTCCTGTATTTAATTCTAGAACGGTACCATTTCCTCCAAATCTATCATTATAACATCCAAAATAAGTTTCTTTTATTCCTATAGATTATAAATGAAATTAATTTATTTTTTATTTAACGAAAAATAATTAAGTACCAATAATTGCTAATGCATGAGCACACATTATACAAGGTTCACAAGTCACAAAAAGGGTAATTTTTTAAAATATCGAAGAGTCATTATTATTATTTTATAAAATTTAATTTATGCAATTGATTTCGCAATGTGAAGTTGCCTAATAGATATTATTTTGAATAAATAATTGTTAACTAAATAAAAATATACATTTTTGAATTTATTTGTTAAATTATGTGCTTTTGCTATTATATTTCCTTCTATTTATAAAGATTAATTTTTTTCTAATATTACCATTACACATCCCACGGCAACTTCATTATATTTTAATGCTGATTAAGCCTTATTTTTTATATTATATTCAGTTTTTAACTTTTTTTAATTTTATAAACTTCGTTTAATGCTAAATTCATGTATTTTAATACTATTTCTTCAGGTAGCTTTTATTCTTAGATTAATATATGGTTTTACATTATTTTTATATATATAAATAAATATTAAAAAAAAAAAAATATATTTATTATAAATATTTATATTATAAAATATATTACTTTTTAGCATGTATTATTTTTTATTTGTTTTTTGTCTTTTTATTTAAAATTACTTTATCAAAGAAAAAAAAATATCATAAACCAATTTTGATTAAGCATTTATTGAAAAATTACGGTAAAATAAAAAAGTAATAATTTTAAAAATTAATTTATTTTTTAATAAATAAAAATTTAATATTTATTTAAATCATTTACACAAAAAAAAAAAAAAAAAAAAAAAAATTTATTTTATTTTTCTAAAACTAAATAATATCTATTATATTAATATTAATATTAATAAAGTATTTATTTTATATAATCATTCGAAATATAAATAATGAAATAATTGCAATAAATTTTAAATTATTTTCCTACTGTAGAATATATCTTCATTTTCTTTTTCGAAACTTAATTAAATAAACGCTCTTTAATCTCTTAAATAAGAAATCCTTATTAAATAATTATTGTTCGTATTATCAAATAAAGAAAAACGCCCACCTAACTCTGTCCAAGTTTCTCCATATTAATCAAATTATTCGTTTAGTTAAATCAAACATGGAAAATAATTAGAAAAATCTTCAACGCGCTTTATTAAATTAGTTTTAATATAAATCGGAGTAAAAAAAATTGATTCCTATTTATTTTCTTCCCATAATGCAATAAAACTATTTTTATCTGTAAATCCAAAATCAATATATTTATTAATAGTTATAGGAAGAATTACATTGATTTAAGATTATTTATAACCTGTACTGTTAAAAATTAAAGAATATATATATATATATATATATATATATATATATATATATATATATATATATATATATATATATATATATATATATACATATATCTGTATATGTATCTCCATATATATCTATATATATGTATAGATATATCTCTCTAGGTATATATATAGATATATATACATCGCGCTATATATATATAGATATATATATATACGGAGAAAAAAAAATAGATACCTATATATTTTCTTCCCTATATGCATATAAATATATATATTCTGTAACTCCCATATCATATATATATATATATATATAGGGAGAATAACCCTATATATAGATTTTTTTATACCTGTACTGTTATAAATATAAGAATATATATATATATATATATATATATATATATATATATATATATATATATATATATATATATATATATATATATATATATATAAAAAAAAAAAAAACCTATAATGAATTTATATATTTAGTATTTGTTAAAGAATTTTAAAATTAGGTATTATTATAGTTTAATGAATTATTTATTTAGAATTAAAATTATATTCTCTTAATTTATTAGGAATAGAAACAAAATTATTTTATCCTTAATTTATTTAAAATAAGAAAAAAATTATAAAAATAATTAAAAAAAAATACCTTTATTATCAATAATAAGTATATATAAATTATTTATTGGAATGCTTAATCTATTTTAATATTAAACTTAAATTTTTAAAATTTTTTAATTATTTTATTCAACTATTGAAAAACTAGCAGAAACTAAAAATTCAAATGTATCATGTAAAATACTAATTTGCAATTAAATAGATTCTTTTATTTGATTACATTTTTAATTTCCATGTTTTATCAATTATTTCAAATAAATTGAATACCAAACATCATTTACATTTTCTTTTTTCCCTTAAATATTTTAATTTATTTAAATAACAGGCTCTAAATATCTAATAAGTACATAAAAATATATAAATATGAAAATAAATATATTTTAAAAATATATATATATATATATATATATTTATATTTATATATTTTATATTTTTTTTTTTTTTTATATTTTATATTATTTACTTTTTTTTAGCCGAATCTTATTATTTATTATAATTTGGTAATTTAAAACATTCTTGCTTTTGAGAAAGATAATTGCACTGATATGAATTAATCGAAAAATTGAGTTCTTCCATTATATTATAATTATAGCTTAATAATATTGAATCTTTTAAATTGTTCTATTATTACATTTGTTAAGAATATTCATAATTTCTTTTTATTTTATCACACTCATAAGCTTTTAATAAAACGAAAGGATCCTAATAAATTTATTTTAAATGAGGATTCTATTAATATAATTGTGCTAAATTGATACTTCTATCATATATTTTTTTAAGTCTTTCAGATTATATATAATCATTATTTTCGCTTTCATTTATAAAATCATTTTAAGAAAAAACTGAAAGTGAATCTTCTTATTTTTTTTAATTTTTAAACTACATTTACTCATTTATTAATTAAAATTCAATTAATTCTTGTTCTTAACTTATATTTTATTTTTTTATGTTATAATTTTTCTCTATCATTTATTTTTATTCACTTTCGATTAATTCTTTTTTTATTTTTTCAGACTAAATTATTATTATTTAATTTATTTTAAACTCTTAGTTAAGTTATTTTATTTTTTCTAAATTTTCATTACCATAAATTTAATTTTATTATAATAAATTTATATTTTATTATAATATTATTTAATTATCTATTATTTCTTATATAAAGTTTACCTAATTTTATTATAAATATTATTTTAATATTTTTTTTTTTACTAATTATTAAGATGTTTAATATTTTTTTTTATTATTTCTAATTTATTCTATATTTAATTTTAAATATCTACATTTTTATAAACATCTTCTTCTATATTATCTTATTATTATTTAATTTAATTTTAATTATTGTTATTTTAACTAAAATATATTTATTAATCAACTTCTTACTATTATTATATTTTTACATGAGGTTCTTTTTTCTAATTATCAATATTAAGTTCATTTTTATTAATAGAAGATTCCATTTTTTTTCTTTTTAGAATAAATTTCTAAAATCATCAAAAGTATGACGAGCTTTAATTTCATTATCTGAAACAATTTATTTTTATACTTATGGAACATATGACAAGCATCTTTTAAATGCAAGATTTATTTCTTATTTTGAAATTTTTTTTTAAGATTATTATTCTATTATATTATTTGAGTTAGTTTTTTGGATTACTTATTCATTTTATTATAAAATGATTTTATTTGAACTAACTTTTAATGTTTATTCCGCGTTTTAAAAAAAAAAATCGTTTTAATTTTCTTATTTTTATTCATAAAAATTATTCTCAAAAAAATTAAAGCTATCATTTTTTTATTCAAATTAGAAAAAATCTGGATTCTATTATTAATTATTTTATTATAAGTTATCTTATATAGATTTTTAAGACTATTATTTATTTTCATTTGATTATTAATTTAGCCAACTAATTTATTTTTCTGATTTACTCTTATTATTTATTTAATCATTTTGGTTATCTTCTATTTTAAATATTTATATTTTTTTAAGTGATAATTATTATTATTATTTTAACCTGATTTAATCTTAATTTGATTGTACATTTGCTTAAAAATACTATCCTTTCTATATTTTTTATTTTTTTTATTATTAAAAATAAAGAAATGAATAAAAACTTTTTTACAAAGACTTTAAGTCAATTGGAAATTAAATACTCCAACTTTCTAAATATTAAGCAGACAATTAATTTAAAATTAAATTTTAATTATTTTAATCTTTTATTTATGTTTATTTAGTTAAAATAGTGTTTAATATTTATACCATATTATTTTTCTGCTAATTTTAAAATCGTTTTTGATAATTTCTATCCTACATAACCTTTATTTAGAATTATTATTTATATATACTAAGAAAAAAAAATTAAATATTACTTATAAATTCAGTATTTTATTGATTCATATATTTATTAACTAACTTTTTTATACATTTAATGCTATTTTTCTGTTATAGATATAAATAATACCTTTAATGCTTTGCACCTATCTTGAATATTGTTAGTGTCATTTTTTATGTATTTTTTTATTTAGTTTATAAAGTTCTATATAAAAACCCTTTTTAATATATATTAAGTTATAATTTAAATAAATTATTAATTTACTAATCTTGATCTTATATTGTTTATGTAATATTTTCTAAAAAAAAATGATATTATTCATTATCTTCTTCTAAGGAAATAAATATTGATACTAATTCAGCAAATTTTTATTCAATATCTATTTGTTAATCAGACATATATAAATTTTTATATTATTAATTTGAATATATTTAATATATATTTAAATAATTTATAAAATTTATAAATAAATAAATACGAAAAAATAATTTCTATAATATTTTTATTTTAAAAAATTAAAATACATAGATACATATGAATGAATTAAACATTGAGAGGTTTAAAATTGAAGAGAATATTATAATGGAATTCATTTATCATGTTCATACAATATTGATAATATTAGAGTCGTTTTTAGGTTTTTATAAGATGTTTAAATTTTAAAATTCGAAGCTTATTTAAGGCCCACAATTACTAATAAAAGTACTTTATTTCACAAACTGGTTAATATTTGGAATGATAAACAAAAAATATACTTATGCAATACCTATATATTCAGCAGTGAGTTTATTATAAATGCTTGTTTATTTAATTTTAAATTAAAAATGGGATCAAATAGTTTATTAATTAACGATTATTATTAATACTGCGTGGTATTTGAGAAAAGCAGAATCTCATGATCTTTACATTGGATGTTCTATAATTTCTGGTCTTTTAATGTTTGTACCTTTTTATTATTTATACTATGCCGTATCATAAAAAAACCCTTAATTTTTAAGCATTTATTGTATTTATGTTGGATTGTTTGAAGCTTTATGCTATTGCACTTATAATATTTATAGGTAATAATATTTAATATCTGTATTGGCGGTTTTTAAAATTATCTCTTGTATAATTA